AGACTAAATCTACTGTAACAAGCCAAGACCATATGGCAATACTGCACGATTTATGTCCAGGACGATTTCGCTTCATCTCAACATGGTGCATACTGCAGAAAATACAATGTTTATATAAGCCTTTAGCATAGCAACAAAGTAACGCAAACTACATTAAAAACAGACAAAACATAAAAGAAGGAGGGGTAAAAAGACCAATATCACCAGCGTAGGGAGAGACTAACATAAAGTTATTTTTGATGACACGGAATTGGTAGATTACATTAGAGTTGGCGTACAGAGGCAGACGGTCTTTTACCGGGGTTGTGAGTATCCTGGTTGTTCGGTAGACGATTTGGGGGTCGGCTGCGTAGTAGGTTCGAGCGATTGCTGACCTCAGTCGTTTGTAGCGCGGCGGCTTANNTGTAATTTGACCCGCAATTCGGGAACTGACGCAATCGTTCTTTCGCAATTTTCGGTTTGCTATGCTTATTAACAAACGCTTCGGGGTAAGCGTTTTTCGCTAAAAATTCCCGGAGGTTTCGCAGTTCTTGTTCAATTCTGTCTTCCGTGCAGATTCGCCTCGTTCTGTCAAATAAGGTCCGAACAAGACCAAGTTTTTACTCCAGGGAGCATAAAGCTCTCGAAGTGTAAATATTGGCCTGTCCACGTTTCCTTTCGATAAACGGATCAAGCAATCGTTCCGTTTTCTCTTCTGGTCATAGTAATGTCAAGGAAATTGAGTGTGTTGTTGTCTACTGTCACTTCAATCCACGATTAGTGCGACTTAATTTCGGGGAAAGAAAATGATCACTTATTCAAATGGCGGTTTGGCAGATTGAAATCTTATGTTGAAATTGTGAAACGCTCGATAGCCTCGGTGTTATTGGAATCCTCTGTAATTTGGATGGGTGATCTGAATGTGAATACAGCGACAGTTCTCTGTCGATGTGGCCTCGTTGTAGCTCAGCAGGTGGAGCGTGCGCTGTACAAAAGTGTAGGCACCGTCTATGTGTGGGTTCGAATCCCACCGAGGCTAATGAGCTTTTCACAATTCCAACGTAAATCAGTTTTGCACAATCGTTCTTCCTGAAACCAATGTAGGGTTGGACAGAATGCTTCGTTTTATCCACAGACACTCCCTTACAAGTTGTGTAACACTACCTATTCTATGAATTAGATGTTTCGGGAGAAATAGTGCAGTGTCAGTAGTAAACGAGGCGGGGCGAGGAGTTTATGGTCGTGAAAGTACAGGGTCGTCGAACTGGATTTTGAAATAGTCAAGTCTACTAGCTTAACTATATAATCTATTAGAGTGATAGAGCTTGTTGATGTGATTCACATTTGTCCAGGGATGGATTCTATTCTTAAAGCCAAAAGTTCAGGCCTTATATTATCTGGAAGGAAGATGGTTCACTTCAGTTCAGGCACGATCAATGTTCAATGTGGGGAAATATGACTTATGCCAAATTAGCGTCCAGATATTTTTATTCACGGCAGAGAGAGTCTTTGTCCTCGACACTTAGTATCCAAACGTTATTTTTTGGGGCCTTAATCTATCCAAGTTTCGAAGATCAAGAGGCCTTTGCTGGCTACGGTGAATGGGAGGTAACTGAATGCATCCCCTTTTACCTTATCGGTGAGAGATTAACGGTCAACGAAGCTTTTAGTTGTGGATTGATGCAAGAGTCGGGTGTTAAGATAAATGTGGGTGGTTCCACATGAACGCACAAAAAGGTTAATTCAGAAGGATGTCATTTCAATCGCTTACTTGCCTTTTAATTACGACGAGGAAACTGGTTTTCTGAGTACAAATTATACATAGATCAGCGGCATAATAAGTGTTCCATAGACGCCTACTTATCATTTCAGATAATATGTCTCCTTTGAAAGGGTTTAAGTGGGTGGATGAGAGGAGAAAGTAACGGGTGTCTTCCTTCCAGTGAACTCTGATTGCACGTTTGTGGTAACCTTCCTACTTTGTTGAATGATCCCATCTGTTTATCCATTTTGTATGAAAATCATTCTGGTTTTACTCAGTTCTTTTGTATTTTCCTATTCATTAAATTGCTGTAGAAAAGAAGACATTCTTACTCATTCTTCTACAAACGTCCTTTTGTGGTGCTTCGGCGAACGAGTGAACGAAGGCGCCCAAAATAGGTTCCGTTGATATTCCATGACGTCACATGCTGACGAGAGAGGGAGACGGTATATGGAGGCGATGAGAAACTCGGGTACATGTGCCATGGTATATCTTTGATCATTACTCCGTTATGTTACATTGGATCAATTCGGTTGGTTGAACCACTAGGCGATAATTGGAGAAATGGCATTGAACAATCGGCGTCCGCCCTTGTATTAAACGACCGTATCTGCCGGGGAGGCAAATCTGGATGTAGTAGATGATCCAGTTCACTGTTCCATTTAGCTATAGATAGAATGTGAATCGTCCATGCAACGGATTAAACCTTAGTATTCATTAAAGGTCTATGTAATAGTGGTACTCAGTACTGATCTATCTGTTCGGGTAAAACAGACCTCAGAGATTCGTCATACCCAGGATGATGGAGTCCGACTGATGGTATCTAAACATTCTGTTTGATTGGACTAATGGTGTTTTATTTCTCTCGGTTATTTGAATATTAGATTGCTTGGGAATTAAGATAATTCACTAATATTTCGCTATTTGTTATTGCATTCAAACAGGAGATAGGTGTAAATCGGATACGAACAAAATATGGTTTGCTATATAATTTGCATAAACGTTGGCACTATTCGCTGGCGCGTAACCGATGATGTATGATGCCCCCGGAACAACAATAAATAAAATATGAGCCATATGAATCCATGTCCTTGATGAGGTGGTGATCTCGGGGGGGGGGAGGGGGCCGAGACAAAANAAAGTAGAATGAAAGCTGCAAATAATCCGTCCGGAGGAGGTAGGTGTATTTTGAGTTCCGTATAATTAACGAAGCTGATGAAAAATCCAAATATGCGCGCGAGAATATCACAGTCTCAGTCATAGTTGTTTCAAAATATTACATCGGTAATAGTAACGACGACTCTCATATCACTCTAGTGTGTGGCTTGCCACCAGTGAGTGAACAGCTTGTGAATCTCCAAATAGAGAGTTTATCTGTTCGCTTAGTGTTTAAAATCACGGAGATGTATCCGTGATTGAGAAACGATAAAGCTGGCTGTTCATGACAAAATTCTAGTAGTCTTGATGTCTTTAGATTTTTCTCTTTCAAAGGTTTCGTGAAAAAACGACAACCTGTCGGAAAAGTTGCCCAGGACGGAGTCGTTTTTCCATCTCTGAAAACAGGGAAAACCATTGGTACAATCCTGCGTTGGAAATCACAATCGATGCTTCGCTAGGGGATCTAACAGGAGCAAACACTTGCTAACACAGGTCACAATTAACAATAGCAGACATGAGACTTTTTGCCCAGCCTGAACGAACGCGAATCAAAGGCTTGCTGGCCGCCTTTTAGTCTGCACCTACTGTGCACAGCGGGAATACTGGACAGCAGCCAACGATAAAATCATAAAATCATCTATTCTATAGACCATTGAGTCAGAAGTTCTGCTTGTGGTTGAGGTACTTAGAAGTACACAAATCATGTAATACTTTTCTGTCTGAATACCAAAACCTCTAGCGGAAGAATGCATATGTTCGCCGACCTGTGCAAGAGCAGCTATTAATCGCAACTGATTTCAAACAAAGTTTGCCGACTTATCTCAGCTTATGTCGGGATCCCTGAAAGTGCTTCTTATATCACTATAGTTTAAAAATGCTTGTCTACTCCAAACCTTGGCTTTGAATCCCGCTGGGCACCAGTGAATTATTTGTTCGAAGTCACGTGAGGACCAGTACCTTCGAATGCTCGTACACCAAACAGAACGGCTGGCTGTTTGTGCTAAGGTTTCTCAAGATATAACCCGTTTAACTGGGTTTGGTCAGCCCACGAGACACCTTTCTCAAGCCCGAAAAAATTACCAATAGGCAAGAACGAAACTCCTACTGGGGCTCTTTTGGCAGTAAAACCACTTCGGGATGTGAAATCGGTGTTTCAAAGTTTTGTTGGAAGTATTAATTTAACCAAATGGAAGGATTATTTGCATTCCAATAAATTATAATCTATTCGGAAAACCATTACGTCAAAACAGAGCAATCAAATTCGGTAAATCCGTGCCACGAATCGCATCTGGCCATAAATCGCATCAAAGCCATGGTAAGTTCAAAATATCCCCGTGATTGGGATCGCGCGTACGGTTCGTTACGGATGTACCAACCCCCCTGTTGAGCAGTTCACTCTAAACGGCTATCACAAGACACATTTTGTGCTCAAAGGGAGAAGGATCGGTGAGTCGGCGNTCTAATCCCTTTATGCTAATTGGACTACAATTTAATGACAGTTTGGAGTTCACTGCACTATCTGGTCAAACCGTTCAAGCGTGTCTCTTTGTGTGTGTGTGTGTGTGTGCGCGTGTCTGTGTTTATCTATACAGAGAATCAGAAACGAACCTTAATATAAAATTGGGCATGTGGTAGAAAAAAATCCCACGTGATTAGAGTACAGAGAACAAAACAGAAACGAAGAAAAATAAATAAATAAACATGTGAATGTTAAATTTCAGATACATTTATGAACAGTGCGTTAGTAGCAGCGGGTTGTTTTGTACAAACACTGACACATACACACACACATACCGAATGGTGACTCGGGGGTCGGGGATTTGTATCTAAGGGGATCCAGATGAGTTACTGTGAGCCCGATAAAACGGGCAAAAAATAGGATAAGAGGGGATCGAATTGAATTACACTTTTCACAGTTCATACATGCCATATTACTGCTGCCTAGATTAGCAATACAGGATACAGAATACAATATCTCTGACGCAGGGACTCGAGAGAGAGAGAAAGATGGGGATGAGGTCAACCACATTTGAGGGGATAAAAAAGAATCGGTTGTTTTTCGTGAAATTGCATCGATTCGGTTAATGGTTCCCAGCAATCTTCATTTACGTTGAAAATCGCCACGTAATATGCGGAAGAATGTCCGTCGAAAAGACGCATTGGATAGCGCGTAACAGAACGGATTGATCGGAGAGTTCATGTAGCACAACCAATAGGATAAATTGTACAAATGCACACTGACACAACTGGTCTGTGTTTCCAAATCATCGCAGAAACCCTTGATCATCATGATGATATGATACGGGATCCAACAGATTATGAATGCACCCAAAATGAAACTGATGGTGCGCAGCGCCTTGCGCGCATGACGTCGATTGTGTGACTCGAGGCTGCGAAAGTTTCCGATTTGTGCCAAACTATTGCGGATACTCGGCTTGCTCAAACTCATTGCCCGTTTCCTGTTCAAAATTGTGTTGGACGTTTTTGCTCGTATCCCGCCACCGGAGTCCATATCGGGAATGGACAGAGTTTTCCGTACTTTTGGTTTGAGATCGCCTGTTTTGGACGTCCTGCGGGTCCGGCATGTACACGCTCGTAATCGCGCACCCAATTGTTGCAAACTGGCGTGTACTCGTTGATTGACTGATTGAAAAAATGTGGCTGCTGCCGTTGCTGCTGCTGCTGCTGCTGTTGCCTTTCGGCCAGACGCATCCGAATTAATATTAGTCAAACGTCCGGGACAGGGACAATCGTAGCAGCACTCATCCGTTGTATACACATCCGACCTGGACCACGGACACAAACCACGTTTATACCACGGGATTGGTGTGTCCGAATAGGAATTGCTTTCACTACTTTCAGAGGTGAAAAGAATGGCCTCGGATTGGGCCATTTGGGTGTGATAAAGACAGAAACAATCAATCGATTGCTGCCCGTTAATCGTTTGATCGTAACTTTCATTTTGTCCGGAACTGCTTAAATCGGAGAAATTGACAGTCTTCGCACAGCAATATTGGTTGCCAGCGCGGGTTGCGTGATCGGGGAGTGACACCATAAAAGTAATGAGAATAGAGGGCGACAGCGTAATCGTAAATAAGGAAAGTGATGTAATAATCAATAAATCTCACTTAGTCCATGTTTGAAATCAATTGTCAAACTCATTGAATGTGTTTGGCTGAGCTAATAAAGCCTGCGCCTAAATACTGATGCATTTAGCCGGATAAAATCTGCAGTTGATAACACAATTTTGGACAGGGTAGACAAATTGTCAATCTACGGTATGCTTGGAGATCATATATTATACAGATGAAAATAAAATAATTGTGGTCAAACAAATATTTTCTCAAATTGCTCAGATAAAGCTCAACAATGGAACTTCATGCTTGATGCGACTCATATGTGAGAAATAGATGTCAATGTCTAAACTGGAGTAATATATATATATTTATATATATATATATACTTCTCCAAAATCCTCTGTATGGTCGGGGTGGCTGTCTAGTTCTGCGGCTGGTCACCCTTCCCTTGCAATTCGTGAAATGCTCCCATATGACAAAGCGTCTCACATAGCCTCTGATGAGGAAGCGGTTCCCGCGGTTCTAACGGGGTTGGTGGACCACTGGTACTTCTCCTAAGGGAGTTGGCTAAAAACCCTGATTCTAAACCAAGCAAGAGGAGCCGTACGAACCATACACGCAACTTTCTGGTTGTGGCGGTGGTCACCAGTTCAACTGGGTGTTCAGTTGTATTGGTCAGCTTGGAAGTTTAACGCCGTCCGAAGGGCGTACGATCTAATGAACGGGAGACCTGCTGCCCCAATGGATTTGACACACCTTGCGGATCAAGCTTTGGTTAGCCGAAGGCTTTGGTTTTGGATTCCTCAAGAGAATTCACCTACCTTGGCCCAGGCAATCTGACAGTATTGAACCCATATGCAAATCGTGGAACGTTTATCTTTTTATAAAGATTATTGTACCACGATTTGTTTGATTCACAGTCTGAACAAGTGGCTGTCGCAACCTAATTAGGACTCTTCGACCTAAACCTACCCCAGAGAATCATTCCACACGATTCTCGACCCATGTTTGCCTATCCATAGCCACGAAAAGTTTCATCACTATCCAAATCGAGTTCCTGTTTTCCACTGAACTAGTATACTATTTTATTCAGTTCATCATGCACTCCAATCAGAATAAAAATTTGTGATTTTGAAATTCGCAATATACTACGATGATTGTTAAATTGAGTTTGAAATGATTCGCGGTTCTGGGAATGATGCTTTTTTGTTCGTTTATTCCGAATGAATGCAACGATCGAATCGATGTGTACCGGTGTATCACAAATGGAAGGGGGGGATTGACTAATCATCGAGTCCACTTCTTATTGACTGATGAAAAAAAAGGTCGTGCAATCAAGAGGTCTACTTGAACATTCACCGAAGTAGCCCAGAAAAAAACTTTATTATCCTTTCTTTTCCAATGAATGGTTTGCGGAACATCAAAGCCGCAGTCGTTTGTTTCAAGTTCGATAAACAATTGGGCGGTGTCGACCAAAACGAATCGATCGATTTCTGCGTCCGAAAATGAAACATGTGCATGTTACAATCCGCAATAGTGAACGAAAAACAATTTATTGTCCCATCTCTATCTATCTCTTGAACACGATGAGATTAATCCAACCCGATGAGCAGTTCATGCGGATGCATTTTGAGAGCAAAGAGGTCGCAAACCCCGTCAAACATGTATGGCCAATGTAAATTTTTATCAAGCTTCTCGTCTGTGCTCGGGGACGAGGGGGGGGGGGGACCACGATTCAATG